CGGGCTGGCAACCGAGACGCACGTGAGGATCTGTCAGCGCTTCGCTGGCGCCGAGCGCTTTGCCACCCTGTATAGCCCGGACCACCGCATCCCCGTGTTCTCAGCATTTCGCGCTGCTCGCCCGGCGCCCCTTAGTGCTGAGCAGCGCGGGCTTCTGGAGCCGCAGGTAAGCAGCGTTCAGCCAGCGCCGGCGGGGGGGTGGGTGTAGGAGACGGGGAGGGACGGGAAGGGACGGATGGACCCAAGGCTCAAGATCCACCCCACCCCCTCCAATTGCAGCCTGCCTTGCCCTGGTGGGAGTCGCCACTTAAGCTGCAAGGGTAGGAGGTTCCCTGGGGAGTTGGCCCTCCCTCCTCGTGGGCGCAGACGTCTGCAGTGTCTGCTTGGTTTCCTGGGTAGTAGAGGACCTGGACTGGGAGACAGCACTAGGAGATCGCGAGATCCACGGGAAGCACAGGCCCGCGCTCGTCCCCTCTGTAGCATTCATTCGGGGTGATGGGCAAGTTCACCCCATTTTACAGAATCAGGAGCTTGCAGACCACCCAGCTGGTAAGATGAGCTGCTCTTGAGGCTAGAAAGTCACTGCCCTTTCGGCTATGGGAAAGCTGAGAGTGCACACAGACTTGGAGAAGAAGCTCAGTGGGGTAGTACCCACGGAGGAAAGGACAAACCAGTTTTTCCTGACTCTTCACATCTATAGATTATCAGACCATTGGCAATCATGTCACCTTTCACCGTGTTGGGTCTGTCTGGTGGGAGGGATCAAACACTCAGGCCTCTATGGGTCCTGCAGAGCCTGCTGACCGGCTCTCCTCTGCCAGATCTCCTACAATTCATGTCCTGCCTCTCTTTGACCTCACCCCAGCCTTCCAGCCCTGCATGTCCACAGCCTTTGGTTCCTGATGGCCACCATCACAAAAGTTCAGGCTTTCAGGTGGCTCCGCGTGAATGTGTGGGCTGTTTATCATATTTCCAGCTGTCAGATCTTGGCCATGCAGGCTTCAGGCAGTCTGCACCTATATTTCCTTCTTACATCCTTCCTTCCAGCAGCTTGCTAATCTCAGTTCTTGGGAGACCAGGCCAGTGAAAAGTTACTATCGTGTGAATGTAGGGAAGACACATGCCAATCTAAAATTACTTTGCCCCAGAGTACCACTACAACCTGAAGTTCTTTATGTTCCCTGGGTCTGGGAAGAGAGCAGCAACTTAGTCCATTCTCACCAAGGAGCTCATTAGCGTCTGGAGGGACAAACATACACAGGGGGAAGTCATGAGAATTCTTGATACACCTGGTGAGCACCTGCTGCCTGTCTGTGTGCATTCAAATCCTGATTCCTCTAGACTGGCTGTTGATTCATGAGGACTATAGGATGATAATAACATAGGATGCTTGGGGGTGATTAAGTGAGTTACTATATGGTCAGTTCTCCAGAGGCACAGGACACATAAGTGCTAGCTACTCTTGTGCGGTTCACAAAACACATAATTTAACCAAGGTAAGCAGAGCCCTCTTAGACTTAATCCATTGGTAAGGTGATAGGGAAAAGCTTTAGGGTCTGGCTGGCATTTGAGCTGAGCCTGGAAAGATTAGGTAGGGTTCAGGAACAGGGAGGAAGAAGAAATTTCAGCCTGGCATTGTATGAGATGGGCATGGCAGATTCTTGGATCAATCCTTGGGAATGATTGGGGTAGGTAAGCTAATACTGTATTATATGCCATGGAACCTAAGGACTCAGAAGAAAGGGAGTTATAGGAGGAAGGAGCAGGGGAAGGAATCACCAGGGGAGACATAGGCAGAGCCGTGGACCTGCTATTAAGGAAATCATAGAGAACAGGGTTTGGCAGTGAGGCTGTAAAGACCCTGGGTGGAGTAATGGGGTGAGGCTGTAGAGAGATGGAGGTGGAGAGCTGAGGGAATAGTTCCAAATGGCAGCTGGAGCTGTGAGATGCCCTGGCTTCTGGAAGGCACTGGAGGATTGGACTGTGGCTCAGTGGGTAGAGTGTTTGCCTGGCATGCACTTGGCTGTATGTTTTATCCCCAACACTGTATATAATGGGGCTCATGCATACAGTTCCAGCATGTAGATCAGACATTCAAGGTCATCCTCAGGCTGCACAGTGAGTTTCAGGCCAGCCGGGGCTACATGAGAATGTTGTTGGTCAAGGAAGCAAGCAAGCAAGCAAGCAAGCAAGCAAACAAGTTAATTCCCCTCCCCCAATGCTGTTGGAGAGTCGCCAAGGCTGAGATGAGAACAGAGGCTACTTTTCTCTGCAGGGTGATGGCAAGTTCTCTTGCTAACTTGAGGTCAGCAAGGGGACCAAAGAACACTGAAGGGAAGGAAAGAGGGAGGGAGGAGACAGAAGCGCAGGTGCCTCTGGAACTACTGCAGCAGGCTGCCCCTGCCTCTGTCCAAGACCTGCCTGCCTGCCTCTCAGCCAATGTCCCACTGCAAGTCCTGCTCAGGGCTCAGTGTGTACTTCTAGCTGCTTCCAAGAAGTTTCTGTTGCCAAGTCCTTTTGTGCCCATATCACCTTATGAGGTCAGCATGACCAAGATGTCCAGGAGGCAGGAGGCAGGCAGTTCAGTACGGGCCTATTACAATGAGTCAGGCAGGGTGGCGCCAGCCCAGCTGGGCAGCCAGGCAGCTCTCCGACAGCCTGCAATTGCCCCTGAAGAAGACCTCGGAATGGAAGATGCAGAAATGTAGTCACCTTTGCTTTGTATTGTATTTGAGGCATTGTATTTAACACCTTGGGGACAAAGTTCAAGCAGCAGACTGGCACTTCCGTTCACAAGACCCTTTGGGTGTTGGATCTTAGTTCCTGGCCAAGTCCTATCCCTTCTGTCACCACACTCCACAGGAATGTTGCCAGGCCTGCATTACCTGTGGTCCCCTGGAATGCCTTTCTCACATAGCTCTCATCAACCATGACCTTTCACCTTCTTCCACTCTATCCTTACACCTTTGCTGGAATGTCTTCTCCCAAAGTACTTCCCACCTGAACAGACCCTCCTCCGAAGTTATGACCACACTCCTATGCTCTTCTGTACTAGACTCTGTCTCTTCATTCTCCACAGGGTCTTGCCTAGGCTGTCCCCAAGTTCACTATCGACCTGCCTCCACCTCTCTAGTATGGGAATTACAGGCTTTGGCCACCATGTCAGATTTTTTTTTCCTCCTCCCACTTCTTCCAAGACAGGGTTTCTGAGTGTAGCCATGGCTATCCTGGAGCTCATTTTGTATAAATCAGGCTGTCCTCAAACTCAGGAATCCTCCTGTCTCTGCTTCCTGAATGCTGAGAATAAAGGCATGTCAGTTTTGATTCCTTCATTTTTGTACTTACTGCAGTGTTTTGTAATTGTCTGTTCCTATTGTCTGTCTGTCTCCCCTGCCTGAGCCCTTGAATTCTGGCTGAGGATGTAGGACATAGGTTACTCATTCTTGCAAACACAGAGCTTAGCACATAGGAAGAATTTAATTAATGATAGATCAAATAACTATGAGCCGGAGATTCACTCGGGTGCAGTGGTGAGTGGCTCTGTGTGGATGCTTTTGTTGGGGTGTTTCCCTGGTCATAAACTTGTCCTTATTGCTGGAAAGCAGCCTCTGCTGTCAACACGTTTACTGGTAGAGCTCAGAGCCTTTCTCTAGTTTCCCTTCCAACATTAGCTCTAGCACTAGTTAAGGGCCTTGGGACTTTGAGGCCTTGGTTTCCATCTGTGCTCACAGGCCCTAGGGTCCCCAGCCCTTCGTCCTGGTGATAAAAGCTTGAAGGACAGAAGAGCAATGTAGAGGGAACCAGAGAAAGCCCTGTGGCCTACTGGAGAGAGGCTCACCTTTGAACCTAACGTGGACAGATGGTGAGAGGCAGAGGGGGACATACCTTCCCATGACTATCCTGTCAGCAGACATTTCACCCAAGACTCCAGAACCTAAGAGCAGTGTTGTATTTAAGGAATAGGGTCTGCCACATCCTCAGTGGCAAATAGAATATTTTTGTGTATGATACCAATGATTTCCAAAGTATACTCATGCCCAAATCAAGCACGAAAGACCTTATTTTATAAACATGAGCATTACAGGGGAATGGCCTTACAGCCAGTGATGGCCGTGTATATTCATTGATCTTAAAAAGATACATTAAGATAGAGTCATCACTGTCTCTTCATTGTTGACACAAAGAAATTGGTTCAGAGTGGTTAACTGGTGTCTGGGGTCACACAGCTTGGATTTCAAAACATGACCCATTGTATTTAGTCGAGTGTTATTTTTATATACATGGGGAGTCTCATGTCTCTTTCATATGAGAATCTGAATTTCTACTCTTTCTCTTTTCCACTGTCACAGACAAGTGAGAACACGCATGCAGATGCAGAAATACTGTTTGAGCTCCAGTGGCTCTGCAGTGATGGGGATGCCTTAGAAGGTTGTATTTCATATTTCAGTAAATACACATGAAGTTGTCCCCCTTAGAACCTTGAGTCCTCAGTCTTTAGTTGCTGACAGTTGCTTCCTGCCTACACACCCAGAGGCAGCTGGCCACACTGTTTAATTTATTGCAACCTCAGCCCCCTCTTCATTGCATCAGAGAACAAATGTGTAGAAGCCACCACACACTGAAGTCTCTGTGTACAGGGTGCAGCAGACAGGACAGTTCTGGGTTTTGCTTCTTGATAAAAGGCTTAGTTCAGATTCCTGGCCTGCCATGTACAGGTGTGTGACTTGTGTCTGCCACCCTGCTTTCCCTGTTTGTTTATTAGAAGCAATAGTGACATCCATTGTAAAGTGGGATTGTGACAATAAACAAAACCAGTATAGTAAGCATGCAGTGGGACTATAGAAACATGTAGTTAGTATTAATGTGTATACTCTGCCACAATCTAAAGCATGCTGGGTAATCACAAATGCACACACACTGGGCTTGGTAGGTGCCTTTTGCATAACCACATAGATCCTTCAACTGTGAATATTCTCAAATACTCTACATCCCACATTCATGCCAGTGCTCAGCGTGTGTATAGGGAGAATTTGAAGGAGTGAAAAATTGGATGGATATATGCATGGGTAGATGTGTACATGATGGATGGATGGATGGATGTGTACATGATGGATGGATGGGTGTATGATGGATGGGTGCATTAATATATGGGTACATGTTGGATGCATGCATGCATGGAGAGATGATGGATGCACCATGGATGGATGTGTGCATGCATAGATGGAATAAACTGATAGAAAACCAGCAACAACAAAAGACAGGTATCAGAGGACTTCTACCCTTCCTGGTGCTGAGCAACCAATAAGTGTTGTGTCATAAACAGTGAGCAAGGACATTTGAGGACCTGGGTGAGGCTGGAAGTGCAGGGCTTGGGGAGGGCTGCCATGTCAATCACCTGCAGCTTCCTCAGAGTGCAGGAACCCTTTCCTTCCCTGGCCTTTTCATCATCTTTGGATCCAGCATTTCCTTAATCTTCAGGCCATCTTGGGATCATGCTAAGGGCTTGCCCTCCACCAGGAACACATGTACCTCGGTAACTCTCCGTACTAGATTCCTTACTTCTGGCAAAGGTCTTCACCATCAATTTTTTTTTTAAATCATGTAATAACTCTAGGCCCGGTGACCCATGCTTTATAGTTTAAAAAGCCCATGTTCAAAGTGGCTATTTAACTTATCCAAGGTCACTCAGCTGATATATAATAGTGCCCAGGTTGCCTGCACCCTCTTTGGTGCTGAGCAACCAAACCCTTTCACTCCATTTCTTCTCTCATGTCACTTTCTAGATAAGGCTCTGGTTGGACTAACAAGATGGCTCAGCCCGTAAGGGCACCTGCTGCCAAGCCTGAGGGCCTGAGCTTGATCCGGTGGTACCCACATGGTGGAAGGAGAAAACTGATCCCACAGACTTGCCTTCTGACCTCTACATATGCCCTGTGGCACACAGGTGCCCCCCACATGAATATTTGTTTTTGTAAAGAGAGAGAAAGAAATCATGGAGTTGAGTGGCTGGGAAGATGAGAAAGATCTGGGAGGAGTTTGGTAAGGGGAAACATGTGAACAGAATATATTGTGTGACAATTTTTTTCAATTAAAAAAATTGAAAATTTCTCTAGAGTCCACCTGTCTGGCTAGATTTGCTGTTTCATTGAATTGAACCAGTTCTTTGGTTGGCTTATGACTTTGCCACAAACACATGGCTCTCAAAATCACGGCTTCATATTGCTGGTGGCTTAGCTTTTGGCTCCTGGTGATTGGATGGAGCATTCCTTGAGACATAAGCATGTTAATCTTTGGGCTTCTAACTCCTCCCTTTTAAATTGCCAGCACTAATATAAAGCGGAGGCAGCACAGCTCTTCTGGGGAGCGTTCTCTCTGTAAGAAGTATCACAGACAAGGGAAACAGGGATTTCCCACATTTCAGATGCAGTTCCTATCTGTTGTGCCATTACTTTGCTTTTCATTCCACGAAACTCAGCATGGGTCAGGGCAGTAACTCTCTTGATTCTGTGTCTATTTGTTCATAGAAAGGAAAGAAATAGCTGAGCATGGTGGTGCTTGCCCATAATCCTAGCAGTCAGGAGGTGGAGGCAGGAGCATCAACCTTTACAAGGTCATCCTGACCTACATAGGAAGCTGTGACTAGGAGAAGGAGATCAAGTCACATATACATATAAGACAGGCAAAGCTCTAATGGGCAGTTCAGCTTGATAGATGAAGGGAGCAGGTTGTGGCCAAAAGCATCACTAGGCTGCTCAACTTAACAGAGGAGGTTGCTGGCTTTTATGTGATGAAGTGGGGAAGGCTGAAGCTTGGTGACGGTCTCTCAGTCAAGGACGTGGCTTTCAATGATGTTCCCTTCTTCTGCCTAAACTTTCTGGCTTTGTGCCCGGTGGGCTCAAGGCTGATGACTTTCTCTAGGAATGGAGAGTCATTCTTGCTGCTGGCTTCATCCTTTTCAGTAAGGTCTTGGTCCTGTGCTTTGGTCTGGGCTTTATGATAAGGTTGGGTGCTTAAGCAGGGGAGAAAGCACAAGGAAGAGAAGAGGAGACACTCACCTGCCAAGGGCTGATGGAACAAGTGAGCCATGCCTATTGTCTCAGACAAAACGGTTGCAAGTTATCAACATGTCTCCATGACTCAGAGGCTAAAGACAGCATAGGAGGCAGATACAATACGAAGACAAAGATGCCAAACCTTTAGTCTCCTTTCAGTCATCCATCAGTTGCCTTCAGGTGCCAGAGTCAGTTCTGTAGTAAAGCAGGCTTCTGGTTCCTGCTAAGTAGCCCAGGCAACTTCTGTAAACGCATCCCCGACTGAGAAACAACTTAAGGCAGAAGTTTGTTTTGATTCATGGTTTCAGGAGATTTCAGTCCACTGTCATGGGAAAGGCATAGTGGAGGGCTCTGTCACTTGTGGTTGGAGCATCAGACTAAAGACATGTATGCCCACAGTCAGCGACCAAGAAGCCCAGAGTAGCTGTGCCTAGATGCACAGCTGGAGTCTTCAAAGCCCCTAGTGAGCTGCTTCCTCCAGCAAGACCCCCACCCCAAGTGTCCTGAGCCTTGGAAAATAATGCTCTCCGCTGGGGGGAAAAGTTCATTGCATGGGCCTGTAGGGATATTTCCAGCGCAAATCAAAGTTTGTGATTAGTCTTTTTGCTGTCAATTATCAACTAAGACCAAGCAAGGAAAGAGGAGTCACTGGGCTTTTAGGAACCACTTCCTGTTGTCTTTGTTATTAGGGGGCTGAGTTTTAACTTCTCCAGAAAGGGATTCTGGTCAGCAAATACTCTGACTTTGTGCCTTAATCTGGGGTTTTATGATGAAGATGTCAAATGTATGCTTTTTAAAAAAAGATTTATTTATTTATCATGTATACAGTGCATGCCAGAAGAGGGCACCAGATCTCACTATAGATGGTGTGAGCCATCATGTGGTTGCAGGGAATTGAACTCAGGACCTGGAAGAACAGTCAGTGCTCTTAACCCCTAAACCATCTCTCCACCCCCCAAATGTATGCTTTTAACAGGTGGCAGGCTAAGGGTTCGATTTTTGAGAGGGCATTGGGGGCTCTAGGAACCCTGTTTGATATTATCTTAACATTCATAATAAAGGGAAGGAATAGATCCAAATGCAATTGCTGATTAAATGAAGCAGTATGCATGACTGAACAGAACCCTCTAAGGAAATGACCTCTGTCTGTTTCATTTCTATGGCCTGATAAAAAGCAACTTAGGGGAGAAAGAGGTTAATTTCAGCTCACAATTCTAGGTCACAATTCATCATTGTGTAGAAGTTAGGGCAGAAACTCAGACAGATAGTTATAGCACATCCATGGCCAGAGCAGAATGTTTACATTTATGCTTGCTTGCTTGATTGCATGTCCTCAGCTCTATTTCTCTACTTTTATACAGTTTAGACACCCCTGACTAGGGAATGGTGCCACCCACAATGGGCTGGGTCTTTCCACATTAATTAACTTTATTAAGACAATGTTCCACAGACATCCACAGTTCAACCCAATGTAGACAATTCCCCATTGACACTCTTTCCAGGTGATTCTAGATAGTCACTTAAAGCTCACCATTGCAGCTACTATGTGTGTTCTTGAAAGACTTGAGTCTTGTGTCAAGGAAAGTACAAGCATGGGAAAAGGAAGCTGAGTTTATGAGCCATCAACCTGTTTTGAACCCATCTTTGGGTATCTCTGTTGGATCTGCTGTCATGGAAACCTCCTAGCATCAGACATACCTATTTCAATGTTGAGGTCAATTTTGAGACAGCTGGTGGCTTTTCTTTCTGCACCTGAGTTGCACTAACTTCATTCTGTGACCTTTACTGTGTCAGTCCTGAAGTTCATGGTCCTAGCCTTTGAAAGTTGCAACTCAACTTCCTGATGGCTAAGGTTAGTCTGTCTTTCCTGTCCTCACTATGGCCCTTCTGTGCACTACTCTGAAGCTAGAGAAATTCTCAGAACATTCACCTCCTTTCTTCGGGGTGCCCCATCTCTCTTTGATAAATACATGGTTCCTTATCTCAACCCACAGAGTTGTTTTGCCTGTCACTGCTCTCCTCCCACCTTATCTGGGCTCACATGCCTTGCTATGCCTTCTATGTTGGAGCTAGGGCTTCATTCTCATTATTATTTCAATGTCCATCATTTATCCCATCACAAAACTTTGGTACACACTGCAACCATTGTATATTGCTTTTGTCTTTCTGAAATATTCCCAACTAGCCTAACTGCCCATATGTCTTATTTAGGGTTTCTATTGCTGTGATAAAACCTCATGACCAAGGCAGCTTGTAAAAAAGTTTAATTTGGTTTATGGTTCCAGAAGGTTAGAGTTCCTGATAGTGGATTGAAGGCATGATGAAAGGGGGCTGGAGAGCAGCTGAGAGCTCAGCTCTTGATCCACAAGCAGGAGACAGAGAGAGAGAGAGCACACTGGGAATGTTGTGAATATTTTGAAACTTCAAAGGCACAAGTAACACACTTCCTCCAACAAGACCACAACTCCCAATCCTTCCCAAACATTCAAACACATGTGCCTATGGGGACCATTCTCATTCAAACTACCACATAAAGATAGTGTCACTCCCACACCTGTATTTTCCAACATGTTATAACCACATGGCTATCTCTGTGACTGAGTACCACATGACTCAACTCCAAGTCCCATTGAGGCAGGTTTGTGGTTGCTCCTCATTGGATCTCATTGTCTAACACGGGGTGTAGCAGCCTTTTTCCATGATGGGCCAAATGATAAATAACTTAGGTGGTGTGGATCAGATGTCTCTGCTGCAATTATTCAATTATTCTTATTTTAACAAAACAGCCACAGGTGATATTGGAGAACCCTATTTACGAAAATGTGTAGTCTGGGATTGGTTCATGGGATTTATGTTGCCAGCCCCTGCTCTAGCATGGTGCCAGTACCCAGTGTATTTGTGAATAGCAAATGTCAACAAACATCAGCAAATCTTAGCAAGTGTGGATGGAGTGGTGTTTGAAAGCTGTGCCATCCTAATTCTGTATGGTCCAGCAGCCATAGGTGGACCTGAGAATGATTTCAGGGAAGACTTTTGCTGTGGTGGCCACTGTAGTTGTTATTTATACTGTTCAGATTTTTCTTTTTAGTGTATACAAAAGTAACATACAATCATGATCGAATTTTATTTTGAGATTTTCAAAGTATATAAAGAATGAATCCCATTTCTCAAAGATAGCCAATTTTCATAGATTGTGCATGTATAGATATGTGTATGTAACAGTCTAAAATTTCCATCACACCTAAAGATGCATGTACCATTTCATACTTTATTTTAGTAACCAAGGTTCTATGATGCCTCAACAAACATGCCTCTCAGACAGCCATCACCCCAAGGAAGAGAGTATATGGACTCTTCCAATGGGTGAGTTTGTAGAGGAGCAGAAACAGTTTACTAAGTGTCTTAACTTAAAAATAGAAGAGCCAAGGGCTTCAAATGCAGTCTACTATCCTGTCTTTTGGGAAGTGTAATATATAACTCACAGATAACTAAAGATAGCCCCACCCTCTTTCCCTGTCCCATGCTTCTGCAAAGAGAATTATTGTGCTTCGTCTTACAGAAGAACAGACAGTCACCATTGCTCAAAGTCACTCACCCTGTAAGGTAGATTCAAGTTTCTTCCTTGTTTCTGTTTCTAGCCCATGGCCTTTTCCTTCATTTCATTTCTGGGGCTAAGGGGGTGGAGGAAGCCAGAGCCTTGTATGTGTTAAGCAGAGCTCCATAGGTGTTAGGCAAGCACAGCTCAGCATTATAGTAATAATCTTCTATAGAATGCCTTCCATGTAAACTTTCCTACTTTTTACATGTGAGTCATTCTTGATGGAGTTGACAGTGGCATCCCTCAGGTGTAGCTTTGTGCCCAGGAGCTTGTTGACCAGGCTTCTCGCTGCTGTCCCCTGAGAGACCCCTCTGATCTCCCAACTGCAAGGACTAAAACAACTTGCCTCTGTGCTTTTTCCACTTTCAGTCCTGGCATCTGGAAGTTTCCATTGCCTCCAAGGCCCCTGCCCTTGATCTGCATTGGGCTACTGGGTTTTATAATAACAGGATCCCCAATATTTA